GAGTGTGTGCGGGACGATTTCCCCTTCAATTTATATTGACTCTAATGGTCAGAAAGAATGTCACATGTCCAAATCGAAGAAGGGGGGCCCAGAGATAAGGAAAATCCACCCCACAATGGCCCCGGAAGAGGGTTTTTTTTGCGTAAATCTGTATAAAAAAAGTCAAAACTATCCACTTGTTTTGCATAAATCTTGATACAGGTATTTATTATATGTTGTACTTGTTGATCCTAAAGCTTTTAGTCTACTATACACCATCATCCAAGGGTTAGGTTTTCACTATAAGTACGACATATTATTTGGACGGACAGCTATATTTTACAGTTTTTTAACATGTTCAATCTGAATTTTTTTTAAAATAAAAAAACATCTATACTTTGATTCGGACTTTTCTACATCCACACACAGGTTTGTCATGGACTTTGAGAAAAAAGATTATTAATTTAACCCTTTTAGAAGGAAGATATGGTCTTTTGTTCGCTGGAATGTCTTTTCGAGCCCTGAAACTTGAAAAACAGGCTCGGGGCTCTAGAGCAGGGGTATTTCAACTAAAATTCAACGAGGTCCAGTTAGAGAAAAATCTCCCTGCAAAGGTCCGGAACATCAAAAATGTCTAAGTTGCTTTATGATTACGTTGTGATATTGAAGTTAGCCTGTAGCTTTATCAACGTCTGCATGTAAATCAACAACTGACTGCCATCAAATAAAAAGTACAATTCCATAAAACAACAATATTTATTGTCAATTAACATTGGAACTATACAGATATCAGTAAAATACTGAGTTCTCTCGGGCTGGCATTTCAAAATAAATAGAGAAAAATAAATAAAATAGCTTTGAAAATTAGGTGCATCTTATATTTTAGATAAAATTACAAATAAAGTGTAGCAGCAGGCTGAGTTTCCCTTTTCGTTGTTACCGTTTCCACATCATGACTTAACAGTTTCAGACGCAAGATAATAGAACATATCAGTCTTCTTACACAGTTTTAAGTGTCTCTTTCCTTCCCTCTTATATTGCAGTCCCTCACTTCACTTTTCTTTTAATTCAGTGCGAGAATGAGTTCGAGCTTGTTCTGCAGGAGTTTAAATCTGGGCTGAAATTGTGTCAGCGGCCATTCCCATACACACATGCAGGTGCTCATTAGTTTGCCTCGTTAGCCTTCCCTGGAACCAATATTTAGTTTATTGGTTAGCCTCGGTTAGCCTGGTGGACTGGTATTGGGCTCTGAGACTGCTTATTTCTTGTGACCTCAGTTCTGACTTGAGAGGGAATGTTTGGTCAAACACTTTGTGTTTTGTCTCATAGTGGCGTTTTGGCACTTTTAATGAGCACCACGGTCTCTGAACAAATGAGACACACTGGCTCTGTGCTCCCAGTGGGCAGGATGAACATGAATGAGTCCACACACTCGGGGTTAAAAGCTCTGTTCTCACTGTCCACTTTCCTCTTCTTGGAAAGCGCCATGTGTAATTATTTGTCTCTCCCTGTCTGCCGCTAACACGCCTGTTCACACTCCTCTCCGCTTCTCTCCCTGTATCGCTAATTATTCTCTTCACACTTTCCTCTCCGCTTCTCTCTGCCGTGCTCTCGTCTCTTCTTCTGTGTTTCTCTCCCTGTATCGCTCACTCGTCTCTTTCGCCCCCTGTCGGCGGCGGTTAAAATAGAATCACTCCGTCAAAATTGAAATCCCCTATTAATGTATTGATTATAGGTCGGCGTCTGGATCCGGACCGCGGTCCGCCTGTTGCCGACCCCTGATCTAGAGTTTAGATTTAGAGATTTTTAGGGTCATCAGGATCAGCTGAACATACTTTGACTGACAAGACTCAACCTAATCAATCCAACCACTTAAAAGATTGCAGAGGGCCACCAAAATAACAGCCCTCCGGAAAGAAAGAGCCCAATTACAAAGTTGTCGTTCTATATCGGGATCAGGTCAATCACGTATCTTTGGACAGGAAATTATTACACGTTTTGGAAAGTAATGATGGTCAACATTTCCCCCCCATTGCCGATGTGTTCCCAGAATGTACTTGGTGTTGTTTAATCTGATAGGAATGATGGCTAGAACTACAAAAAGTTGAACCTGAGTTGTGATAAACTGGAATCATCATTCAATGCTACTCACAGTAGTGGTTTTAGTGATACATCTTGTATACCTGGCATCCCTATGTGTGTGCAGTGGTTCTAATTCCAGGACATATGGTGGTGATTGCTGCTCTGGGACACTCATTCCCATGATGGAAAATTTGAATGAAGAGGTGCTGATTAGCACACACACACAGACACACTCACTCTCTCTCACAACCATTCAAACAGCCCTAACTAATCCAGCCATGTGTGCCTGGGAGATAAGGTGCATCCTGCATACTCTTTCTACATACTCTCTCTCTTCCTCTTCCTTCTTCCTCTCCTCCCGCTCTGCCTTCGTCTCTGTCACTTTCTCTCTGGGAGAGTAGCACCTAATTCCCCCTAATTCCGTAATCCTGAGCAGGGCCACTGCACATACAGTCCGCAGTGACCAAGGCAGAACACAAAGCAGGGCCCAGATGATGGAGGATTTTTAAAGCCATTTCCTAAGCCAATATCAATGACCGGTGGGGGGAAATAAACAATAACAAGTTTATAAATCTTTCTTCCTGTGAGAATTTATTTAGCAGTTTCATGAATGCACGTCTGAATTGATCTTAAAATATACATAAAGCCTTTTTATAACCGTATTCATTCTAAAATCCAATAGGGGATATATAGAGAATGCTTAGGCTTAGCTAGATTGACACTAGTGTCAATGTGATACCTCAGTCTGACCAATGTGATCAGTCTGACCTCAAAATCATTTCTTTTAATTGTATTTCCCCAAAAAAAGAGGACGACATGAAATATTGTCTAAGCATCTTGCATACAACTGTCTAAAATTAGCATACATGTAAATGGAGCCAAGCTAGTTCAGGCACTCAAACTACAATAATAGATGTACACGTGAAATGCCTTAAGCCCCTGTCACACTGTCCCGAAATTGACACCCGATAGACACACGAATATGGAATTGTGAATTTCGCACGAAGATGGCCCCGAACCACACACGAAGGCAACATTTACATTACATTTAAGACATACAGCTGCAACGAAAGTAACACAAACAATTATGTTAAAGTATTATGATACTGTACTGATATTTTCCGACTTTGTTCTTTACTTTCTCCGTCTTTATATGTAGAAGATATTAAGTTTTCTTCGTCATGTTGTTTCCAGAGCAACAACAACTTCCTCGCCTTCAAAATACAGTGATGCAAATTAGCCGCTTTTCGGCGCCTCCCGCTTTTTTAACGCTGTTTTGGGTGACTTGTGTAATTCGTGGAGAACCGAAGAGTTTTCGTTT